CCACATGGTGCTCCAAGATCTAGGCCCATGGAAGAGGTGGGCAGGTGTAGGGAGAAGGGATGGCACTGACCCAAGCCCCAGGACGGACACCTCTGCTGTCCCCTCCCCCATTGGCCTCGGCCTTCCAGCCCGTTTAACTGGGGGGGAGGAGCCACCCTTTTCCTCTCCCCAGCATCACCCACCCAGGAAGAACCAGCCTCTCCACCCCCAGCCCCTCCTTTCTACCAACCCCCAGTTCCGTCTGCGCAGCCAAGCTTGTCATCGGCCCTCAGGGCCACGGCGCCTGTGAGAATAAAAGGTAGTGAGTAGAACACTCCCAGTTCCTGGCTGCTCTGTTGGGTCCCGTTCGTTTCCCCGAAGGGGGTGAACTGCAGACCTTGCATCCTGTGGTTTGGTGGGAGGACACAGCCCGGAGAGCCCAAATACAGATGCCTGTGGGGCGGGGCCGGGCCGTGGGGAGCGGGGCTGCAGTCTCTGGACGCGGACACGCTTGGTCTCCATGTTCCACACACGAGATACATTCCCTGCTTCCAAGAAGAAACAGGCTCTTGCCCACAGTTCTTTAAGCACAAGCTCCTCTGGGTCCGGCTTCTCACGTCCCCATTTTCTTTTCTATACTGAGAACAGTACAAGTGTGATGACAGATGGCAACAACATGGGCCCTTGTGTCGGGATCACCAGGGAGTGGCGGCTGTGGAAGTGGGGGGCCTATGTCCTAGTTAAGGGGCGGCCGCTGCAGTGCCCCAGCTGCTCATTACCAGGAGGAGCAGAGGCCCCTGTGGTCAGATTTCTGGACTTTTCAAGAGGAGCCCCAAATGAAGAAGTTAACTGAAATCTCTATTTCTAAGTCTGAAGACTTGCTGTGGGTCAAAGAAGCCCAACAGGACACTGCTCTGCGGCCTCTGTTCTAGATCAACACACTTAAGGGGAGAGAGGCTCCCTGGGGGAGGGCCTGGCCCAGGAGCCCCAAGTTAGGGTAAATGTGGATGCCACCCTGGCTCTCCCAGACCTCCCCAGCCCAGTGCTCTGTTTCTGCACGGCCTCTTGCTGCCTTTAGCAGAAGGCTAAAAGCCTTGGAGCGGACTCCATGACCTTGGGTGCTCCACACTACTCTGGGCTCAGGGAAGTGGCCCTCTGCATCACTGGCCATCACAAAGTCCTGCGGACGCCACCCTGACACACCTTTCAGGTTCCTCCACTTCTTGCCTTCATCATCGCAGAACCTCTGTTGCCTAGACACGTGGACAACTCAGTCCTAACTGGGCTTCCTGCTCCTACTGTCCCTGCCAGCTACTCTCCACCAAGTACCTCAAGAGACCCTGCCCGCAGCTTGTCCTAACTTCAAAAGGTGACTTGGAAGACCCCCTTCCATTTCTTGCTTCTGGGTATCTGCCTGACCTACCTACCACAGCAACCAGCCATGACCATGCCTGAGCTCCCCCTTAGCTTAGATGCCACCTCCTCCAGGAAGCCTTCCCCACCCCAATTCAACACCAGGGCCTTTTGCTGAGTCTCCTTCTCTGGCAAACAGTGTGTCACTCACCACAGTATCACAGAGCCTTGATACACGGTCAAGAATAAACCCTGAGCGATGGTTTGTTCATCTGCCAAGTGTCAGCCAGACTCTCCCTTCCAAGAATCAATCAATTGCAAAACGTTTGCCCCAGATGCAATGGGAACTTGCACCTTTCCTTCACGTCTTTTATTTTCTGAGTTATTACAAAAAACACACAAACAAAATGGGAGAAAACTGACAAAAAGGACAAAGCCTCAGCATAGCTGGAGACCAGGGGCATGGAAGGAGTCGCAGGCTGAGCCTCACTGGGTCTGCAGGGCAGAGGTGGCAAGTCCCGAGACCTCTGGGCATGTTGGGTCTGAGAAGGGAGGGGCAGGTCGCTTAAAAAATATATATATGTATTGTACATGTCCATACGAGGCATCCTTTGTCGGCACAGAAGTCAGGCCAGGGTCAGTGAGTGGAGGTCACGGGAGCTGGGCGTGGTTCCTCCTCCCGGGACCAGCCTTTCTGCAGGGCTCACTGGCTTGGCCAGCACGGACACCGCAGCTGGCCATCATCTTCTGGGGAAGGAGGGGAAGTTAAAAATTCAATTCCAACCCTTGGTGGGCAGAGGGAAGAGGCACGGGGCTGGCCACCGCTTGGCTAAGAAATCCTTGGGAGAAGGAAACGTCAGACTTCCTGACCTGTTTCTCCACCAAGGAGAACAAACTCAAAATCTGGCATCTCCTATGCAGGGGAGGGGCATTAACTAACCACGGTGGATACTTGTCAGTGCTGACCATGCCCCAGGAACTGGGCTGAGCGCTTTAGAGCTTAATTAACTGCACTGAATCCTCACTACCAGCCCAGGCCTGTATTACCCCCATTTACAGCAGGCTGGGGCCGGCTCAGCCAGGCGGATCACTTAACCACTTCACCACTACCTGGGAAGCACAGAGCCACCAGAATGGCTTGTTTTGAGCAAATCATCTTCCTTCCCATGAGGAAATGCCCTCGAATTACAAAATCATAAGGAAAAGGAACTGGCAGTGGCAAGGGAGAGACTGAGCTGTCCCCGACCTCAAGCCTTATCCTCACGTAGAGAGGCACCAGACCAGTGCCCACCTCCCACTGCACACTCAGTGTCGGTCACTGCCAGGACTGTCCCGGACGCTTCTGATTCTACAGCTCTGGTTCCCGGTATCGCCCGCTGACCCTGAGGAATGCAACCTCTTTCACCAAACCCCCTTCCCTTCAGGGCCTACCCACGAAGCCCAGTCTAGCTCCCCGGAACCACGGTGAATGCTGGGCCTGCCCTCCCACTCTCCCCGGGGAGCAGATGGTCAGCAGGGGTTCCCGGGTCAGGAAGTGCACCTGCCGCCTGGTGTCCCTCAGACAGTCTGCTCTGCCGTCTTCTTCTGTGAAGAGAGAAGTACGTTATGAGAGGCTCCTGTACCTGAAGCATCTCCCCACCCACGCTGCCCCCACCAGGAGGGGATGTGACAGTTGTCTCCTGAGGATTCGTGGCTCCCCCAGAACAGATTTTGGGCATATAGAGATCCCGAGGGTAGGGATGGCGGCCCCCGTGTGCTCTGGAGGAAGGAGCTCAGGACTTTGCAGCAGCAGGTGCTCAGCTTTTCTGACCACAGCTGAAGCCCTGCTGACCACGGTGAGAACTGCGCCTGAGTACAAGGCGCTGAGGGCCCCCTCGCCAGGCAATCAGCCCTTGACATGCATGAAGCAGACTGTGTGTGTTTCTGTGGTGGGGATGCCCTGCCCGCTGGGGCACACACATGCCAGGGAACGTTTCCTCTCACCTGGAAACCTGCAACAGCCTACCTGGCCTCCCTGCCCACCTGGGGGGCTCTGCTTTCTTCACTTGTCCTAAGAATATCCTTCTATCTCACAGGCAAGATAGGGCCACTCCATGGTGCCCATGTGCACAGACCTCGTGCCCCTCAGGGTGACGCCCCACCCCTAGCTCTTCTCTAGTGTATCATAACGCACAAGCCCCCGTTCTGGACCCTGAGAATGGAAGGGGCACAGGGACCAGGTCTGGCCCACACGAACCCCTACCCTGACATGCAGAGGCTGGGGCTGATCACATTCACCCTGGGGACTGGGTTTGGGCCCCCTTTTCGCGCCTGAGACTCCTCAGGAACTCACTCTACCTTTTTCTTCTTTTTCTTCTGTAATGGTGAGTCAGGGTCTTTGGTTGAGGCCTTTTTTGCTTTCTTCTTCTTTTCTTTTTTTTCCTTGTCTTTCTTTTCTAAGGGAAGAAAGTAAACTTGTTAAACAACAGGTGCTAGTCTTAAATGTTGGCGTCAATGTCGAGAGACACAGGGGGCGGGTCTCCAGGGGCCCTGGAGCTCTCCCCTCCCGATGCCCCACACCATGGGGAGCCGTCAAAGCACAGGTCCATAGGCCTTTGCGACCACCTGCCCTGGCCCTCGGGCCAGCCTCGTGATTTCTGCTCCATCCATGGACCATCTGGACTATTACCATTTTCCTTTAACGCAATCTGTAAACCTTCTACCCATTTATTTTAAAAAGACCCTTTCAACCCTAAATGGGAATGAGTTGTCACCCATCATACAGGGCCGGAGTGAGGGTTAAAGGCAGCCCTGCCGCAGGCGGAGACCAGCGCAGAGCGCGCTGAGGGGCGGCTGCTGTCCAGGAGCCTGGATCGCAGGGGCCTGAGCTGCAAGTGCGCGTGGCGGTGGCTGCTGTGAGGGAGCTACGGGCTCCGTGGGCACATGCCCTGGAGGCGTGAGCACCTTCTCAGCAGTGGTGGCCCTGTGCTCCGGCACCTGGTGCTGGCTTTGCCCATCCTGCCCACCATGGACAAGCCATGCTCAGCCCCATCTCTGTGCTGGCTGGGGGCTGCCTGCCCGGCAGGTGACCAACAGCGCTCGGCGGGGCTGGGGAACGCGCTCCGGGACTGCACTGGGCACTTACTCTTGTCGGCTTTCTTCTTCTCCTTCTTGCTCTTTGGGTTGCCTTGGTCTCCCCCCTCACCCTTCACCTTCCCCGGCTCCCCTTCTGGCTTCTCCTTGGCCCCTTGGGAGCCGGGAGACTCCTTCTCCTTCTTCTCCTTGATGTCACCACTCGCTTTGTCCCTCTTGGATTTCCCCTTAGAAGTCCTGGGGGCCTTTTCTGGGGAGACCGCATGCTCCCCGCCATCCCCGGCCCCCAGCTGCTTCTTCTTCTTGCTCCTGGGGGCACCGGCGGCTGTCTGGTCTTCGGAGAGCTTCCGCTTGTTGCCCAGGCGGCCCTTCCGGCTACCCTCCCTGGCCGCACCCATGGCCTTCTTCTCCTGCTCCAGCAGCTCCGCCAACACCTTCGCCACCGACGCCTGCACTTGCGCCTCACTCAGGAGCCAGGGCTCGCTCAGCAGGCGCCGGGTGATGTCGCTCTGCAGCGCCTGCATGGAGGCCTGGGGGCTCCTGGGCCCCTTCCCGGTCTTCTGAGGTGTGGCGCTAGCCTCTCTTCTGCCTATGGAGAGAGGACCCGGGGTCACGGATCTGAGAGAATCAGGAAACAGACCTCTCGTGGAATGAAAGTCAAGGGGCTCCAGCGCAGACCTGACCTCCTCTGGTGCAGTACAGAGGGGGATGGCGGGGCCCCACTGGGTCCCCGGCTCACGCCTCTCTGCCAGCTTCTAACTTAGAGCTCTTTTCTTGTCTCCTCACACTAAAAACTCAAGTTCAGGTTGGGGATGGAAATTAACTCCAGAATGTTCATCAATGGGCTTGAAATCTACCAACAAATCAAAGAATCTAACCGTCAGGATAGGGATAGTATCTACCAGTCAGGAGTCCAGCGCTGGGAGGCAGGAGACCTGGGTTCTGGGTCCGACAACCAAACTCAGTTTCCCCATTTGTAAAATGAGGGGTTAGTGAACTGTGAGCCCCCTCACCCCCATTCTAAATCACAGACTCATAATAAAAGCGAAGGCCACGCGGTCAGTCAACTCACGCCCACCTGCGCACAGTGGGCCCAGGCCCTCCGTGGTCAGGGGTCCAGGTGGTGTGGCCTGGGGGTGCTAGATGCAGTGAACATGCACATGGTGGCTGACTAAGCAGGTTTACTGCCTGCCAGAGCGACTCCTGCTGCAGCCTTTGTTTAGAATTTTCCACGCCTCTGCTCTCCTTTGATAATTGTATGCTGGCTACACGTGTGAAAAACCTTCCACAGCCCCCTCTAAAATGTCTCCCTGTCACACCCGCCTCCCACAAAGAGAAGAACGCTGGGGAAGAAAGTGAGCAATGACTCCTCTGCTGACCCGGCACCAGGCAAGCTGCACGAAAAGCCCAGGGACTGGGGGGTGTGGGACTCAGCATATGTCCTGACGCCGCCCCAACTTCACAGGTGACTTGGCAGGTCTCAGCTCCATTCGGGGCCTCACAGCACAAGTGCGCCGACACCCTGGGCTCGGGGAGGTGCTGGTGGCTTGGCCCTGCTCCACGTGGGGAGGAGAGGGCTGTTCCCGGCAGTGTGCAGTGGGCCCTGCAGCAGCTCTGGCTCCAGAGCCCTAGTGGGCCAGGGGTGGTGGGCAGAGTGGGTTGCAGGACAGACGGAGGCCCAATTCAGTCCTCTGGCGCTTCTTGGCAAGGACAGGAGTCGGCTAGAGAAGGGAGCTGAGGAGGGCACAGGGTGCCTCGGCAACCCCTCTCCCTGCAGCCCACTTCTCTGCTTCCTGTCTACCAAACACCTTAGAACACCAAGGCCAGGGAACCCCTAGAGCTGTCCCAGGTGTACCCTCTAAATGTCCCATAGCACTGGCACAGCCAGCGGTGGCTGATGCCCTAGGCCAGATGACCTGAGCACTCCAGTCTGCCCTCCAAACACTGCGCGACCATTTTCCACATGTGCCATTTTCTACGTGACATCAATGGATGCATCAACCCCTGCCCTGACTGGTTAAGGCGCTGAGGTCCAGAGAGGCCAGGGGCTCGTCTGAGGCTTTAGAGAACGTCAGTCCATAGCCTGGGGTCGTCGCCATGTGCTGAAGACTTCTCCAAACGTGGCCCCACCTTCTGTCTGAGCAACCCTGAGTCCCGACGTCCCGCACCATGAGCCTACCTGTTAGGAAGAAAAGTCAACACGGACAGCTAGAGAGAGCCAAGGCCTGCCCTGAAAGTCAAGGGGCACCTCCTCTAAGGCAGGGGCACCTCCTCTAAGGCAGGGGTCACCCTACCAGGTGCACCAGCATCCCACAGGGCTGGATAACCCAACCTCCAGGCTGCCCTAGACCACAGCAGCCAGGCCCGCGGGCGCAGGCCCCTGCCTTTTCATGAGCACCTCCAGGCCTGATGCAGGGGTACCAGGCCTCACTTGGGGAGGCCCTGCTGGCAGACAGGACCATGTTGGTGGGACGGCTCCTGAGGGAGGGAAAGAGGCCCCTGCTTTGTCCTTCCACATCCTGCTGTGTCCTTCCTGCAGCCCTCGACTCACCTGTTTTAGGGGACATGGTGCCTGCTGCTTGTTGGGGCTCCACTGCTTCCTTCTGCTTGCCGTCTGGGGCATCTCTGGTGGCCGGAGTAGAGGAAACCGAGGGGTTGGGGTCTGGCTTGGGAGTGGCCTTTGAAGCCTGGGAACCGGCCGGAGTCAGCCCAGGGGTCACATAACCTGAGAGGAGAGACTGAAGAAGCCCAGTGTGAAGAGGCCCAGCAGTGTATGGCCTGCTATGAGGACACCAGCACAGGGACCCCAAGGGTTGGGCCAGCCCTACTGGGTGGTGGGCACACCAGCCCTCTGTGAGTACCTCCTGCACTATTTTAATTAATACATAGTTTTAACAGGCACATTTAAAAAGGAAACTTCTTATTACTAACGCAAATGGAAAAGCACTAGCATTTGCTACGTACAGATGATAACCTTAGAAGAAACCCCATCTGTTAAAGAGCGTTTTTATATGGGGATCACCTAAATCAAGGTAAGCCCTGTCTACAGACTCCAAGAGTCCGCTGCTCATGACTTTATGCTGAAAAGGGGCCTCGGGGCAGGAGCCAGCCTGGCTCCACACGGACAGGACCCTGCCCAGGGCCCTTGGGAAAAGGAAGAGCCCAGACCCATGAGCCAGGGGGTGGCCTCGGCCTACAACTGCATAGGTGGGCGAGAGCCTGGCCTGGGGCTCCTGCCCCAAGGCCCCCAAGGTTGCCAGCCCCTTCCCTCGCGGTTACCTGGGAAGGTGCCACCACCTCATCATCGCTGGAGTCTGCTGTGGTCTCTTCCACCAACGTCTCCCTCCTGGAGGGGGCTGGACCTACTGGAGAAGCACAGGTATCCTACTGGGAGTCCCAGGTACCCTGTGCCAGCTAGACAGGCCGGAGCCCTCAGGAGAGCCCCAGGATGGCCTGGTCCCTGTGTATGTGCCTCACCCTCCCGCCCAAGGCGTCATCTGCTCCCTTCCAAGGTCTACTGCTATTCACAGCATTCCAAGTGAGACACCTGAATGCCAAAACCTTCTAATTCCCAAGGGAGGCATGGCCCTGGGATTTTGGGGCCTCAGTTAGGGGAGCTTGATACCAAAAAGTTGGGAGTGGCCAAACAGCCAAGTAGGAAGGCCTCTAACATCATGTGGACCAACTCTGTTACGGGGTTGTGCAGCTGGGTAAACTGAGACCCTGTGTGGGATGGCTAGGCCAAAGTCGCAGAACAAGTGGAGATACAAAGCAGAGGCCTGAGGCGAGGGCTCCACCAGGTCCCCCAGCCTTTTCCTCCCAGGACCCTCACCTGGCCTGTGGGTCAATGGGGCCACCTGGGGCCCCTCAGCATCTTCCTCACTCCCTGAAGAGCTGCCACTGCTGTCCTTGCTGTCATCTGAGGTCCCAGAGGCCTTGGCCTTGGGGCGTCCCGAGGGAGTGGCTATGGCCCGCTGGGTTGCAGGAACCTCAGGCTTTCTGAGCTTGTTGGCCCCTCTGGCCTGCGCGGGGGTGCTCTGAGGACTCGTCATGGGCAGTGTTCCCCGAGCACTGTCGGTCTAATTTGGTGAGAGGAGAAAGGGTGAAAGGAAAAATTAGGGGAAATAAGATCTGGTGCTTACTGAACACCTCAGTTAAGGGCCAGGCACCGTGTTAGCTGCTTCGCACACAGGCCTCATTTAATCCTCCCACAACTCTCTAAGACGGGCAGCAGAAGCCCGGGAGGTAAGCGCGTGTGCTAAGGCCAGTGCTGGTAAGTGCCGGTGCTGGGACTCAGGCCTCTGCCTGGGCCCTGCCTTCTACCCTCTGCGGTCTCTGATGGCCGTCCCCTCCAGAGTGGGGCCTGGCCCCCAGCTCCCCAGCTCACCCCACTTGAAGACAGGGTCCTGGCAGCAGGAGGCTGGGCCTCACTGGCTTTCTGGGCAAGGACCTTCAGGGCAGCCTGGGTCAGCGGGAGGTGAGCTGGGTTCCTCTTTGTCACCTGTGGACAGCCAAAGGCAGCCCTGAGACTCCCAAGTTCCCGGGATGCCACCATGCCACAGCCTGGTCAGATCCTGTCTGGCTGGGGTGGAAGGGGACCTGTAGCTGCAAGAGGAACCTGGGGCTGGAGTGGAGGACTGAGGGGCAAAGGGGCAACGCCACCATCTAGGCAGAAAATGGTGCCAGGCTTCAGGTTATGAGCTAATCATAGCGTTCTCAGAGGTCCAAAGACAGCTCCCAGCCCAGGGGAGGGAAGCAGCTCAGGCTCCACCGGAGGCCCCACCACTCAATCTACGCCTCTAGCCTCGTGGCTGTAACAGCCTCCTTAACGGTCTCCCTGGTGCCACTCCTGCTTCCCACACACGGCAGCGGCCAAGGACAGAGAACGGAACGAAACCTGGGTGTGATCCCTCGCTGAAACCTCCAGGCCCCCCCGCGGCCCTCACCAGGTCCTCACCATGCATTGTCAGGCCTGGCCCCTCCGCCCCAGCTTCTTCCAGCTCTCCAACCCCCAAGTGCTTCCCCAGAGGTCCCTGCACCTGGGTCTCCCTGCTTGGAGGAATCCCCAGCTCGCCCAGGCCTGGCTGCTTCTCCGGCCTCAGTGCTGCCTCCTCTGGGAGGCCACCCCGGCCCGTCCTTTCTAAAGCAGGTCATCCCCCGGTTCCCTAGTTGGTGAGTACTTTAACTTCTGGGCTCCTTGTTTAATGGCTGACCCCCGCCTTGGGAACTCCACGAGGGCAGGGACCCTCCTTGTCTTCTTCCTGTTGTATCCTCAGTGTCCCACATGGACAGATGCTCAGCACCATCTGCTGGCTGAACGGCCAAATGGATGCAGGTTGTTGGGTGCCGTGACCACAAGCCAGCCACCCACTCAGCACCCATGCTCCCAGGAAGCTCTTTTTGAGCTGTAGCTCGTGATGAGCCCCTCTGAGTGGAGGTGCCCAAGTCCTGCTGCCGCCTCCCCAGCTCTCCCTCCCCCTGCCTTCTCAGAAAAAAGGGGTGGGCACAAGGGGTCAGGGAAACAAACCCTACAGCCCCGAGAGCAATGGACTGGGAGGCAGGAGCCCCGATTCTGACCCTGCCTGATCCTGGTCACGTCTGGACCCTCTTGCTGAGGGCGTGGTGCTCAGTTTCATCATTTGGATGATGAGCCATTAACTCTCCCCTGCCTGGTTTTTAAGTTCCAGCAAGGATCAAATAAATAAAAATGCACTGAAATCCGTGAAGGCTGGGAAGAACGCTCATGGTCACTGTGACAAACACTGACAACGGCAAACTTTTGTTCAAACCGGGAGAGAAAAAACAAACCAAAGGCCTGACGTTGTTGAAAAAGCTGCTGAGGGACTCAGGGAGCAGGGCTGGCTCTGCCCGGGCGCCACGTGCCAGATCACGCAAGGCTAATTCGGATCAGGGCTGCGGCCAGGCCAAGAAAGGCTCTGGCTTCGAGGGGGCGGGTGAAAGCAACTGCGCTGCCACCCAGAAGCCCTGTGGGGAAGTGGGGGCAGAGGAGGGAGCCCCGCAGCCCTGCTAGCCCGCACAGCGCCCCCCGGTCCGTCGGGTACCTGAGTGGCTGGCGTCTCCTGTTTCTTGCCTTCAGACACCCGACTGGTGTCCTTACTGCTGCCGGCCCCCACCATGCTGGCTCTGAGGGCTGCCCTGGGGTGGGCCGTGGGCACAGGCGCCACGCTGGTCCTAACGGCTGAGACGGAGCGGGAGGGGCTGCGTCAGGGCACAGGAGCCCGTGGCCTCCCCGAGGAGCAACACCCAATCTCTCAGCCCATCCTGAGCAGTGCCTGGGGCCTTTGTGGTAGAAGCCCGTTAAATCCCCTCCCAAGCCTTCCAGGCAGGATCTGCCACTGCCTCCACATGACAGGGAGATGACACGACTGCTGTGGCTGTCACCCCAGGCCTTGTCCTCGCCACCTTCAGCCACCACCCCCCCGCCCCCGCCGCTGGCCAGGCCGCTCCTCCTGAGCAACAGGCAGAGCACTGGAGCCAAACGTGACTCTCCGCGCATGTAAAACAGTCTCTCTTGAGGACAGCCTTGGTCATGTGCAGAGGCTCGATTACACATGTTCACTGCAGCACTGTTCATGACAGCCAAACACCCCAAACAAAACGCTCAGCTTCCTCCAACGTGGTGCTGGCTAAGCGAACTGCAGGATCCCACCCCAGTGACCACTCTGTAGCCAGCAGGCATCATGCTGTAAATATGTAACGTCACAACATGCCAAATAAAGATTACTGAGCGGATGCACAGTGTGGTCTCACTAAAAACACATGGCGTTATCTTAGGTTTTTGCAAAGTTAATAGTTGTAAAATGTTAACAGTAATTATTCTGGACACTGGGATTCCAAGTGAGGTTTTTTCTTTTGTGCTAATCTGCATTTCTTAATTAGCCTACCAAGATCAGGTATTAGCATCTTCATTAAAAAGTGTCCTAGTAATCATAATAGTAATTAACCATTTTCTTGCTATCACTGTTAGAATCACAGATTGTCAAAAGTCAAAGAAGGGCTTCCCTGGTGGCGCAGTGGTTGGGGGTCCGCCTGCCGATGCAGGGGGCACGGGTTCGTGCCCCGGTCCGGGAAGATCCCACATGCCGCGGAGCGGCTGGGCCCGTGAGCCATGGCCGCTGAGCCTGCGTGTCTGGAGCCTGTGCTCCGCAACGGGAGAGGCCACAACAGTGAGAGGCCCGCGTACCGCAAAAAAAAAAAAAAAAAAGTCAAAGAAATCCCAGATCTGGTCCTATCTCCAGGAATCCTTCCCTACATGTCTCTGTTTAGGGATTACCTAACCCCTCCCCTTTACATGCCACCAGGAACGGAAGGCTCACTACCTCACAGCCCTCTCCATGTTCAGTCAGTCAGTTGTTACAAAGCTCTTCCTTATACTACAAACCTGGTCCCTGCAGCTTCTAGCCTCTGGTCTGGGATCTACCCTTTGGAGCCAGCACAGAGAAGCCCCAGCAGCTACTTCTCCTGAGCCAGCCCAGTGGGGGTGTGTGCGTGTGTCTGGCAGTTGCAGCAGGGGAGTCAGCCCTGCACAGTGGGCCTGTGCTCACCAGGAGTCGAGCACTGCGTAGCGGGGATCACGTCCTCATCCTCACTCTCAGAGGAGCTCCTGTGTGTGCTCTCTGAGGCCTGGGCCTTCCTCGGGGTGCTTGTAGCCTGGGTTTGGGCGGGGGTAGCAGCTGGGCCAGCTGGACTACGATTAGGGTCGACAAAAATCAGAGGGGTTTTAATCACCTTGAAAAACAAAAACAAAACACACCCCCCCAGTGATTAAAGGCTTGGCCAGGGGAAGAGGAAGGGGAAGGTGGGTAGGGGAGGGTTTTATAAGACAAGGGGTCCAGAGAGCTTGGGGTGGCTGGGCACAGTCAGAGGCCATTCTAGCTGCCCAGGGCACTCCCAGCTCACTCCCAGTCCACACACCCACTAAGACCCCGCACAGCACCTCACAGCTCACAGGAGCCCATCTGACCCTCACATAAACCCGAGGTCAGCAGCGTTAGCTCCACCATACAGATGGGAAAACCACAAGTCCAGAGAGGGGAGGAGAGTTGCCCAAGGTCACACGGCCCAACGGAAGCAGAGTCAGGGCCAGAACGTGCAATTCAGCTTCCCTCCTCTAGCTGACTTCAGAGACACCTGCCGCATGGGGCGCTCCAAGCAGCGCCCCCCTCAGTTGCCTGGTTGTTATACATGATTCACCCGGGGAGTTGTTCACAATCTAGTTGACCCATGCCCAAGAGTCTGATGCCACCTCCTGAGGGTGTGGCCAGGATGCAGCAACCCAACTACATCGGCCCAGTATCTTCAACAAATAAACTACACAGGGAAAATCAACAGAGTAAGACCGAAGGGACCCAGTACAGTGTGTGGCTCTTACATGGACTCCTATCTGACCATGCCAGATATAGAAAACGTCATTCATGAGACAACTGGGGAAATGGGGACACTAACTAGGTGGGTCAACTTTTTAGAGATTGTGCTTAAAAAAAAAAAAAAAAAAAAAAAGGGATTCAGTGGTGTTGGGGAAGTGAGTTGAAGGTTTGGATGAAACAAGCTTGGTCACAAGTTCAGAACTACCAAAGCTGGGGATGGTACTTGGGAGCTCTGTACACTGTTCTATCTGTGGGTATGCTTTGCATTTTCCAGTGAGACACTGAAACAAAGAGAAAGAAAGCAGCACCACCTGGTATTCTACAGATGCCTGGGAACCACAGCTCCAGTGAATATGCCCACTGCACAGAAGGGCATCTGGGGAGCCTACTTTCCAGTCCCCAAAGGTCAGGTCTGGTCTGGGTTCTGGCCCCAGCCCCACCCCCACGGGGAGAGGAGGTCAGCAGGCGGGAGCTGCCCACGGCCACGGTCTGGGACCCAGGTCTCTGTCCACCTCCCGAGCCTGACTCCACCTCCTCCCAGGGTGCTGCGGGAGAGGTAAAGTAAAAAGGAAAACAGAAAGGGGCCCGCCCAAGGGGGGAAGCTCTGCTGGGCTTGGGCCCTTCCTACCCCTGCCAAACGGCCTCCCCCATGGCTGCTCGGATCTGCCACTTCCAGAGCCTTCCTTCCCACGTGATGAAAGAGAGAAGATGGAAAGTGGGAGAAGGCTTACAGTTGAGGGAGGGGGGATCTATATATATGTGAGAAGACAGGGGAACAGATTGTCGGGGATGAAGAGAGGCAGCAAGCCCACTGAGGCAAACAATAGCGTCTGGGATGTTAAAAGCAGCTCCTCAGCAGAAGCGTCCTCCCTGTTCCACCTGCCCACGCCGTGCACCCCTCCCTCCCCCGGGCTGGGGGCTGGGCAGGGGGCCTGGCTTTGGGGGCCGGGGCACGAGGGGGACCCTGGCTGAGCCCTGGACTGGGGAGGGTTCAGAAGGAGGGCTGTGCTGCCCAGGGGTATGTGGGATGCACTTCTGATCCCACCTCTGCCACGACCTCACCTTGTAGCCCAGCCCCTGAGCTTCGTGGGCCTCACTGTCCCACCTGCTGAAAGGGCTATTAGTAACCCCAGCCTGGGCTCACTCACCGGAGGGCCTCTGGTCTGCCCAGTACACACAGGGGTGACAAGGGCCTTCTTTCTGGGGTACGTCAGAAAAGACACACTGGAAATGGAAGCAGCCCGAACATCTGGCTGGACGCCCCGTGTAGGTGCTGGGCAGTGAGGGCCCAGAGGGAATGCAGGCGCTCCTTTCCTACTACAGGGTCTGACGCCTATAGGACCAAACCCGGGGGCCTTCTAGAAGTCACAGCTGAGCGCATCACAAGACTGCCCTCATTCCAGTCTGGGGCAGAGCAGGGGTCGGGCGGATTGGCCCAGGCTGCTGACTCCAAGGGACATGGCCATGAAGGTACCCGAGCTCTGGACGGTAGCACTTCTCCAAAGCCTCTCCCACAGCTGCCTGGGACTGGTTAGCAGATCCTGGGCCCACTCCACCCCAGGGAGATGAGAAATCCCACTCCCAGGGATGTGGCCTGGAGCCTCCATGGTTCACCAGCCCCCAGGGAATCTCACCCCAGGGGTTGAGAAGGCTGAAGCTCAGCGAGGCCAAGTGGCCCTACCCAGGGTGACCAGCAAACTGGTGTCAGAGACAGGGCTGGAAGCTAGTCCTCCAGGCACCAGACAGGAACTCCTTCCAGGACCAACCATGCTAAGCCTCTGATTTAACACCCTCATTTAGTTTCTTACAGGTCTCTTCTTTCTTTCTGACTCAACCTAAAACTCTGAAGGCAGGGCCTAGTCTTCTTAATTTGGTACTTACCCCAGACCCCAGCACAGACCCTGGCCTGGGGTTAATGCCAACACAACAGGGCTGAGCCACGGACCACCCCCCAAGGTGCCCCTCAGAGCAAGGGGGCAGGCCCCATCCCCTGCGTGGGGGGAGGCTGAGGCACAGTGAGGGGGCCTGGGAATGGACCACATCCCCTCTCTGCCTCCCAGCCTGGGGCTCTGCCCACCACCCTGGGATCAATCCCTTTCCCGCACGGACGGGCTAATAATAAAAACAGTGAAACTCGTCAACAGAGAAGTGCCTGATAAACGCATAATAACGACAATAATAATAATTAGTGAGCTTGGGATTAAGGAGATAAAAATTCCCCAGTTAGGAGGAGGCTGCAGCTTTCCCAAGCTGTGCCATCTTCCCTGAATTCTCCCGGGGAATGCACAAAGTGCTGACCTTTTCCTTTCCTCTTTTTTAATAGGGACTCCAGAATACTGAGGACGAACGTACCAATTAAATGGTTCAGTTTAAGCATGATGTTCATATTAATTGTGTTAGCCCACCCCCGCAGAGAAGGGCGAAGCGGCACCCCCCCCCAGCTGTTTCGATCCTTCTCAGAGAAGGAGGCAGCCCCCAAAAGGCTCCAGAGAGCCAGAGGGCAGTGTCCAAGCCCTGCTTCCTTCCTGCCATGGAGAGGGGAGTGTCAGGGTAGTGCCAGAGAGCGGACAGCCTGGGTTCAAACACCAGGTCTGTCCCCTTGTTACAGCCCTGTGACACCAGGGCAGCTCACCCAACTTCTCTGGGCCTCATTCCTTCCTCCTCAAAATGGGAAAAAAAGAAGCACCTAGGGCTTCCCTGGTGGCACAGTGGTTGAGAGTCCACCTGCCGAAGCAGGGGACACGGGTTTGCGCCCCGGTCCGGGAAGATCCCACATGCCGCGGAGCGGCTGGCCCTGTGAGCCATGGCCGCTGAGCCTGCGCGTCTGGAGCCTGTGCTCCACAACAGGAGAGGCCACAACAGTGAGAGGCCCGCGTACCGCAAAAAAAAAACCCCAAAAAACCCAACAAGAAGCACCTATCCTCATAGGTCTGTTGTGGGGATTAAACAGAATAATGAAAGTATGGGGCCTAGCACAGTCCTTGGCACTCAGGAAGTGACCAATGGTAGATGGAGTTGCTCATGGTTATTTTTCTAATCTAGGCTATTAAGGAGAGAAAGGCAGTGAGCACCCCAGCACTGGGGGTGTGCAAATGGCATCTGACTCTACCGATGGACTGATTAGCCGTGGTATATCTAAGGGGAGCTGGTTGATTTTTCAGCTGCACCGCGTGGCACGCGGAATTTCCCCGACCAGGGATGGAACCTGTGCCCCTTGCATTGGAAGCGCAGTCTTAACCACTGGACCGCCAGGCAAGTCCTTAAGGGGAGCTGGTTAAGGAGACCCACTGGTCTGGGGGTTGTGGGCTCCAGCATCTCCGAAGGGCCTGGCAGAAGCTTCTAGGAACTTGGGGCTAGAGGAGGACAAAGGGCAGTGCCAGCTGCAGGCGAGGCCTGGGGTTCACAAAGAAGCTCAGACACTTGCCAGGTGAAAGTGGGCCTCTGGAGTTGGGCAGACATGGTGGGCTTGGTCCCGCCCTCAGGGGTAGAGTCAGGGGAGGACGGCCGGCAGCGTGTGAGGATGGGCCGCAGGTGCGTGAGTGCGGTCTGGGACCAGGCCTGTGGGATTCTGACAGGCCCTGCAGAGAAGGCTCCCAGTTCCCAACAGGAAGCAGGGGTATCAGCGTCTGCCCTTCCTTGGCTCCTTATGGGTCACAGGAGTCTGGGGAAATCACTTCAAGTTGTTGGGCCTTGACTCCTGATGCACCACCACATGCTCTCCTGCATTCACAGGTCCTCCCTGTCTGGCGGCACGCTGTGTACCTGTGCCAGCATGCAGAGCGGGGAAGCAGGACTGCCACCCTGCCTGTTCACAGCTGAAACAGCCGGGCCTCAGCATGGTTAAGGCAAGCCCGGCCCTTGGAGCTGGTGGGCGGGGCAGCTGGCTCTGACCCTACACCGTCTGGCTCTGCTGCCTTGGCTCTGCTGCCTGCCTCCCAGGGTTACTGTGAGGATGAACGTGTTAAAACAGAGGAAAGAGCTCAGGAAACTGGGAAGTGCTATTTAAGTGGGACAGATCTGCCCCCATGCCCGGGCCCATCTACCCAGCTCTGAGCCTGAGGGTCCTCAGAGACGATGCCTGGCCTACCTGTCTCGCTGGCAGCTCATCACTGCTGGTTGAGGACCCCTCTGCCTTCTTCTCCGGGGGCGCTGGGGCCAGGGTCTTGCTTCTGGCAGTTTTGGAGTTACCCTCCTTCTGACGGGACAAGCATATGGTGGGTGAGGGGGCATTTGTTAGCTGAGGGGAAGCACAACTGAGAGGCCGGGGTGGGGAAACCACGGCCAGAGAGCAACGACCCTCAGTCTCCGGGGAAGATAGCATGACCCCCCTATATACACACGGGGGGCACAGCTGCTGGCCCGGCATGCCTCCCAGCCACTGGGAACACAGGTCTCCACTCTGTCTATCCTTCCTCCAGAGCTGACTCTGAACGTGAAAGGGATGTGTGAGTCAGGCACCACTAAAACCTGAGGGCTGGCATGCTGTTGGCCGGGCATCTGAATGAGAGGTGATAGTGGCCCGGGACAAAGTGGCAGGGGTGGGGCCAGGGGCCCCAGCACAGCTCACACCTGGCTGTCACAGCCCCAGCTAAAAGCAGGAGTTGGCTGAGGGTGCTCCGAGCAGCTGTTATCCCCTCCTGCCCCCCTCCTGCCGGGCCAGGCGTAGACGAGGGGGGCGGGCTGGCTGGGAAGAGCCGTCAGGAGCCAGAGGATGACTCGGAGAGCAGTGATTTATCAGCAAGGCACTGCTGGCGACCAGCTCAGGGGAGCCCAGGCAGGTGCAGAGGGCAGCTCTGCGCCTCCCTACTGGCGCGAAGGCCCCACTTTCACCACTCAGAAAAGCAGGACCCATGTTGCCTGAGCCTCCAATTTCTTAAGAAAAGCTGGAAGATCCTGATTTGTGTATTTCTCAATTTTTAAAATGAATCAACTACAATGCACACTGCAACAGCCACACCCCCATGGCTTCCTTGCTCACAGAACCCTGACTCTGTTCTGGGGGTCCCCACCACAGGCTTTGGAGAGGGTGGCTCCTTCTCCTAGCCAATCACAGGAACTGCAGGCCTCTCATCAGTGAGTGACTTTTTTGGGGGGTGGCAGGGGGCGGGCAGAGCACATGCCTTAGATCTGGTCAAGGAGACAAGGGGAGGGGAAGTCAACTGGGGGATTTCCTAGCTTTTTAGGAGATGCTGCAGCCCTGCTGTGACAATGAGGCACATGAGGCATAGAGACGGAAGAAATCTGAGTCACTGATGATGCTGAGCTGAAGGAACCACCTTTACAGACACCTTATCCTGAAACACTGTGCACTGAGCTAACCAATCCCCTTAGCATCTAAGCGCTTGTGAAGTAGCTCTGTTTCCTCCTGCCGATTAGGATGTCCCGACTGATACAATAACCTGTTTATAACTTTACAGGGGCTTCCCTGGTGGCGCAGTGGTTGGGAATCTGCCTGTCAATGCAGGGGACACGGGTTCGAGCCCTCGTCCAAGAGGATCCGACATACCGCGGAGCAGCTAGGCCTGTGCGCCACAACTACAGAGGCTGTGCTCTGGAGCCCACGAGCCACAGCTGCTGAGGCCCGCGCACCTAGAGCCTGTGCTCCGCGATGGGAGAGGCCACCACAATAAGGAGCCCGTGCACCGCAGCGAGGAGTGGCCCCCGCTCGCTGCAACTGGAGAGAGCCCAAGCATAGCAACGAAGACCCAATGCAGCACCCCCCAAAAAAAAAAAAATTAAAAAACAAACAAAAGAAACTTTACAAAAAGCACCACAGTCCAAAACGTGGCTGGGACCCTTGTGTCTCAGTCTGGCATTTAGGTCCCCATAAATGTTACTGGTAACAAGCAACTGGAAGTGACTATTGCCTACAGGACAGCTGGCCTTTGCTGAACCCACCTGACTTTATATCCCCCCTCCCTTTCCACACTGCCCTCCCCAACCTGGAGGGTCTGTCTCTACTTTTGTGTCTAGGGAACCCCAGGTCTTCCTCCAAGCTCAGCTCAATCGTCTCGTTTGGCCTCTCAGACACTTGTTTTCCCAGCACCATCAGAGCACAACCAGAATATTCTCCAATAATCCGGTCACCTTGTCTTGCCCTACAGACTATATGCTCCTTGAGGGCAGGGCCAAGATCTTTCATCCTTTTGTCCCTATCAATAAGACAGCGTGTTCAGTAGTGGTCTGATGCACTGAAGGCAGAGAGGTTAGTGCTAGGAGCACTTACACTTCTTGGTGCTTGTTTACTCATGAAGAAAACAGAAATTTATGAGGGGCTGGAGCTCAGCGTGGAACAGGGATTTCCAACTTCCCTTAAGAAATGGAAGATCAAGGGACTCCCCTCGTGGCGCAGTGGTTAAGAATCCACCTGACAATGCAGGGGACATGGGTTCGAGCCCTGGTCTGGGAAGATCCCACATGCCGTGGAGCAACTAAGCCCGTGAGCCACAACTACTGAAGCCTGCGTGTCTAGAGCCCGTGCTCCGCAACAAGAGAACCCACCACAATGAGAAGCCCGCGCACCCCAATGAGGAGTAGCCCCCGCTCTCCGCAACTAGAGAGAGTCCGCGTGCGCCCAGCAACGAAGACCCAATGCAGCAAAAATAAATGAATAAATAAAATTTAAAAAAAAAAGAAATGGAAGATCTGGCCTTACAAAGGGTCCATCTCCACCAGGTCATAACTGGCTGGAGCTGACAGGGACTGCTTTTCTAGATGAGACAAGGGCTCTCCAGTTTGTCCTAGTTGCCACCACTCCCTACTGTCTCTCCTGACACCAAGGCTCCATGTCAGTTGCCATCTATCACCCCTACCAGGCCTGAGCCCGTTGTTTCCATCACATGTCTGAGTCCTGGAGTTTGTCACCCTGAACTTCTTCTGTGCAAGCAGACAGAGGGAAAATGGTCAAGATAAAAGTCAGTTGCTCATTCCTTCCCTCTCCCCACTCCCCAGGCTTCATGTTAAGCTAGAAGAGCTCTCCTTGAGAGATACACATGCCTACAGGAGGCCCCAGGCCCAGGTGAGGGATGTGACTTCCTCCAGCTTCCCAGGGCCTCATGGTACCTGCATCACAGTCCAAGCCTCCTCATGGCCCTGTGACATCTTTGGGGGCTTGGCAGGAGTTGCTGGCCTAGCCTTCCATGGGGCTGGTGTGCCCAGTCGTGCTGTGGAGACCTTGGTAGATATGGGAGTGCATAGGACACCTTTCATCAGGGAGGCCTTAGTTAGGGGGTTTTTAGGGTTTTTACAGCAGGTTTCACCTAAGGAGACAGGGGGTACAGCAGCTACGGGAAAGGATCCTGGGGTCAGAGCCTTAATCTGGTCTTAATTCCTTCTTCACCTGGCCCTGAACCCACGTTCTGATGCAGGAGTAGGTGGCAGTCAGTGGCTCAGAGGCCTGGCACTGTAGCTGCTTCCTCGTGAGGCCTCACCTGGGCTGGGGGCACAGCTGCTGGCGTCTCCCCGTCACTGTCTGACTCCTCCTCGCTGCTGCTCTCCGAGTCCTCTTTCCGCTTCCCGGCCTGGGCGGCTCGGGCTCCTGCCTTCCCAGGGGGTGCTGGGGCAGCCCCTTTCCTGGGGGACCCCTTGGTGGAGGCTGAGGCAGTTCTGACCTGGGGGGTCTTCCCTGAGGGCTTCTTCGCCTGGAGTGAGAGAAGTGGAGTCAGGGAAGGGCGACGGGAGATGGATGGGGCATGTGTAGCTGTGCTGTGGGTAGCTCCTGGCACAGAGGGGAAGCACAGGGCTGCTCTCTGCCCACCCGGGCCTCACCTGAGCGGGCGCCTCCCCCTCACTGTCCGACTCCTCCTCACTGCTCTCCGAGTCCTCCTGTGGGCCCCTGACCGGCCCCAGCTGGTCCTGGGCTGCTGCAGCCAGTGCCTTCCCCATAGCCGGCACAGACACCTGGCCCCTGCCCGAGACGGCACTGCTCTGGGGGGCTCTTGCTGGTGGCTTTACCTGAATCATGAGGAGGGAACAGTATTGGGGAAGGAAGAAGAAAGCACAGTTCCCCTTAAGTGAAGCCCCACCCAGGGCAGGGCTGTGGGGAGATCACTCCCGCTTGTGCAGAACCCTTGTCCAGGCTGCGGCCACTGCTTGGCCTCCTCTACATCCCACCCTGGCACCTCTTTTGGTGCTGGTCCTACTTGCCTTGGCTGGGGACCCCACTTTGGCTTGAGCAGCTGCAGAAACCCCTTTTCCAGGAGCTGATGCTGCCCCTTTGGCTGAAGCCACTCTGGTGGCAGCTGGGTTGGCTTTGGTCTGAGTGGTTTTCACTGAGGTCTTCACCTGGAAGGAGAAAAGGGAATTACGGAAAGGAGGTGAGATGCAATAGAGCAGGTAGCCAGGAATGCCGATTCTGGAGTCAGATGCCTGAGTCTGGGTTCTGGCTCCTCCGGTAATAGCTGTGTGAACCTGGGCAAATCATTTGACCTCACTGGGCCTCAGTTTCCTCCTCTATAAAATGGGAATAAATGAGGCCTACCCATAGGGACGGTGAGGATTAAATGGGAGATTCCCAGTGTTTAACACAGTGCCTGGCACACAATAAGCACTCAAACTTATTACTGTGAGAACTTTTCTTACTGTTAGCTAAGTATAAGACTACCCAGAGCAAAGGTGTTTCCCAGGCTCCCTTTTAGCTAGGTGGCCATGTGATTAACTTCTGGCTAATGGATGTAAGTCAAGCATACATTTGACTTTCTTACACACGTAGGAAATGTGTCTTCTTCCTCTCTGCTGCCTGGAATGCTGAGGTAATAGCTGGAGCTCAAGCAGCCATCTTAGTCTATGAGATGGGAGCCAAGTACTCAGGATGGCAGAACAAAAAGGAAAACGACTGTTGTTTGAGGTTTTCTTCAGCTTATCCTAAACTAAACTGATATTCAAGGAATCCCCTAAAAGCTTGTCAGAGTCTATAGACAGAACTATAGACATAAGAGCAACGAAAAGCAAAATCCTTGATAAGAGTGTGAAAGCAAGCCTTGCTAATGTGAAATCAGATGAGGAATTTGGCATCATCTCAAGGCCCCTGTCTCCTTCAGAGATGTCATTTGAACAGTGATATGCCCTACAACCCAGCTTCCCTCATTCGCATGGGACCAAGTGAAATTATCAGTCATGAATTGAAGAAAGAAAACTCTCTAAAGCATGGACTATGTATGACTAAGGGTAAGGTGGTTAGCAGCACAGAACTCAAGTCATCCAGAGGAGAGTAATGTTTTTTACATAGACTTACAAAAACAAAACAAAAGATACCAAGTCTAAGTTGACCTAACAAGTCTTAAAAGTTTAAAAGGACTGAAATCATACAAAATATATTCTCCAGCCACACAGGATTAAATCAGAAATCAACAACAAAAAGAAATCTGTACAATTCAATATATTTACAAGTTAAGCCACTTCTTAATAATACATTCAAAGAATAAAAATTTAAAAATACAACACTTCGGGCTTCCCTGGTGGTGCAGTGGTTGAGGGTCTGCCTGCCGATGCAGGGGACACGGGTTCATGCCGCGGTCCGGGAAGATCCCACATGCCGCGGAGCGGCTGGGCCCGTGAGCCATGGCCACTGAGCCTGCACGTCCGGAGCCTGTGCTCCGCAACGGGAGAGGCCACAACAGTGAGAGGCCCGCATACCGCAAAAAAAAAAAAACATTTCAAAATTCATGAGACAAAGTTAATGCAGTCCTCAGATGGAAATTTATAGCTTTAAATGTTTACATTAGAAAGAAAGAGCTACAATCAAAAATCTAAGATTCCAGGGACTTCCCTGGTGGTGCAGTGGTTAAGAATCCACCTGTCAATGCAGGGGACATGGGTTCGAGCCCTGGTCTGAGAAGATCCCACATGCCTCAGAGCAACGAAGACCATGCGCCACAACTACTGAGCCTGCACTCTAGAGCCCACGAGCCACAACTACTGAGGCTGTGTGCCACAACTACTGAAGCCCGCGTGCCTAGAGCCCATGCTCCACAACAAGAGAAGCCACCACAATGAGAAGCCCACACAGCACAACGAAGAGTAGCCCTTGCTCACCGCAACTAGAGAAAATCCGTGCCCAGCAATGAAAACCCAACGCAGCCGAAATAAATAAATTTAAAAAAGAAAAGAAAAAAAATCTAAGATTCCACCTTAAGAGGCTAGAAAAAGAAGAGCAAATCAAACTCAAAGTAAGGAAAGAAATAATAAAGATCACAGTGGAAATTAATGAAACAGAAAACAGGAAAATGATACAGAAAAATCAATGAAGCCAAAAGCTGTTTCTTTGAAAAGAAAGAAATTGATAAGTCTTTAGCTAAACTTACCAAGAATAGGACAGAAGACACAAATTACCAAAAATTAGGAAAGAAAGCAAGACATCACTACAGACCCTATAGATATTAAAAGGATTATAGGGGAATATTATGAACAAATCTATGTTAACCAATCAGACAACTGAGATGAAAACAGAAAAGTTTCTAGAAAGGCACAAAATATTAACTGTGCACAGAACTATTAACAGGTACAAAATAGAAACTGATTCAAGAATAATAAAATCTGAATATAGCAATATCAATTAGAGAAACTGACTTAGTAACTAAAAATCACCCCCCCCCACAAAAAGCCCAGGCCCAGTTGGCTTGATTGATGAATTCTATTAAGAAAGAAATAATACCAATCCAACACAAACTCTCAGAAAACAGAGCAGAAAATACTACCCAACTAATTTTATGAGGCAGTATCACCCAATACCAAAGCCAGGCAAAGATATCACATGATATCTACAGACCAAAATTCTTTATGAACACAGACACAAAAATCCTTAACAAGTGATTTGCAAACCAAATCCAGCAACAAATAAAAAGGAATATACACTATGACCAAGATGGATTTATCCCAAGAATGAAACATTGATTTAATACCTGAAAATCAACTAATGTAACACATATTAACAGAACAAAGGGGAAAAAAATCACTTCAATAGAGAAAAAGCATTTGATAAAAACCTAACTCCAATTCATGATAAGAACTCTCAACAAATCAGAAATAGAAGGAAACTTCCTCAACTGGATCAAGGGCATCTATGAAAAACCTACAGCTAACATCACACTTAAAGAGTGAAAGACAATGCTTTACCAGTAAGATTAAAAACAAGGCAAGGATGTCTGCTCTCCTCACTACTATTCAACATCTTACTGGAGGTTCTAGCCAGTGCAATAAGGCAAGAAAGAGAAAAGCCATCTGGATTAGAAAGAAAAAAGTAAAACTGCCCTTAATTTGCAGACATGATCCGTATACAGAAAATCCTAAGGAATCTACAAAAGCCACTAGAACTGGTAAGTACGTGTAACAATGTCACAGGACATGAGATCAACATACATCACAACGTCAGGCCCAGAAGGCACCATACCACTTATCTGGCCATTCATCAAACACTGACTGAACATCTCTCTCCTGCCTTTCTCACACAAGGGCTGTCTTTCTATGATATTTAAGTCACGAATCATCTCCTTCCTGAGTCTCTGGCACATTTGGTTTTCCAGAACGGACTCTCTGACTTTGTTAATTTTTTTTTAATTAATTTTTTTTTTTTTTTGGCTGCATTGGGTTTTCGTTGCTGCGTGTGGGCTTTCTCTAGTTGCGGCGAGCAGGGGTTACTCTTTGTTGCGGTACACGGGCTTCTCACTGCGGTGGCTTCTCTTGTTCTGCAGCACGGGCTCTAGGTGCACAGGCTTCAGTAGCTGTGGCACGCAGGCTCAGTAGTTGTGGCTCGCAGGCTCAGTAGTTGTGGCTCACAGGCTCTAGAGCGCAAGCTCAGTAGTTGTGGCGCATGGGCTTAGTTGCTCCGTGGCATGTGGGATATTCCCGGACCAGGGCTCGAACCTGTGTCCCCTGCGTTAGCAGGCAGTTTCTTAACCACTGCGCCACCAGGGAAGTCCTGTTAATTTGTTTTGAACCTCAGTTCCCTCAATGGATGGTTTACTTTGAGCTGGCTGGGTGTCTCTGAGCAGATCAGAGATTGTGACTCATTTCTGACCCCAGCAATGCTAAGCAGAATAGAACAGCATTTTGCGGGTGAGGCCATACAAGTATTATTTCAATCCTCATAATAACCCCACAACAGAGACAGTTATTATCCTCATCCTTCAGATGAAGGCGAGGAAAAGAAGGTGGTCAACAAGACTCCTATCAGCCCTGCTTGTTTTAGCAGAAGCTCTTCAGACCTCTTGAAGCTAGGAAAGGCAGTAGCTTCTGACAGAGCATCAGGCTATAAAGGCTACGCCTCTACAGAGAGGGACTGGCTGCTCAATTTTACCTGACAGAAAATAAGGCCCCAAAGTATGACCATTTCTGTGGCTGGAAAAGTTCTGGCCAAGATATAGCAGAAGGAAGTGGGAAAGGCAAAGGCTTTGGAGGCAGGCGCTGGTGGGGCTGGAGCAAGTCACCAAACAACTCCTCTAAGTTCCAATTTCCTCTTCCAGAAACCAAAGTAAATGAACACCATCTCATGGTACAGGTGAGAGGCTCAAATGGGAAGACAGATATTAAGTGATCGGCACACTGAAACTTTTAAGGCATTGGTCTCGAGTATGTCTGTAGCTTGGAAAAACAGGATAGGAGACTACTAACCTGAGACTCTGGGAAGGCCAAGAATAGTTTAAAATCTCAGTAAAGGAATGATAGGACCTTGGGTCCTACAAGATAATAGTGAGATCAGGACCAAAAAAAAAAAAAAAAATCCATAAAAATGTGTGCTTTGGTACAGGGAAACAAGAAATGACTAATTTCAGTGGTTAGTGAAAAAAAGAGTGACAATTAAAAATAATAAATGGTGGGTGGGTGAATGCAGGGAGTGAGATATCTTCACTTCTCTCCACTCTCCCAGGCTGGAAGGCAACTCTTGATTCTGCTCCCTCAGGGAGACGGACGAGAACTTGCTGTGTGCAGGCCCTTTGCTGGGTGTGGCAGCTGAGATCTCATCAAATTCTCAACTCTGTGCAGGTTGATTTCCAATTTACAGAAGAATAAACAGAGGCCCTAATGGATTACTTCATTTGCTAGGACATGGAGCTAGGACTTGAACCCAGGCAGCCTGGCTCCAAACCTCCCACCATTCGCCATTCACATGGTCTCCCCTAGTGATCCCACCAGAATGTTCTGCTTGGGGAAACTCGCAAAGCCAGGCACTCTCCCACCCCCTGGCTTTTGCGCAGGCTGGTTTCTCTGCCTGGAACACTCCACATCACCTGGCCAACTCTTTCAGCCCACAGTTTAGATGCCACTTCTTCAAGAGGTCTTCTCTACCGAAAAACCTCTAGACACCATCACGTGCCACGCCCTGCTAGCCTAGGCACACATCCTCCATCTCAACCCTACTATCATACCACACTGAAATAATCTGTGCATGTCCACGCCCCCCTATCTAGGCTGGCAACTCCAAGGGCCAGGGCCAAAGGAGCCCCAGATAAGTTGGCACCTGGCAGATGGGGTACTTAACAGAGCTTGTGTAAAAAGAAATCTCAGTGGGAGCTCAAAAGGTGATGAAGGAGACCCTGGAGCTCGACCCTGCAGCTCTGATGGGCAGAGGAGATGAGTGGAAGGTGTGGAATGAGGCTGAGCTGAGGCTGCTGCACACCTGGGGCAAGAGCAGCCTAGGTAAGTGCATCCTCAGCCCCATCCCAGGCGACGGTGTGGGTGGGGCAGGTTGGCTCCTCCCAGGTCTCACCTGTGCTGCAGCTGAGGCCGCCTCCTCATTGTCCGACTCCTCCTCACTGCTCTCTGAGTCTTCCTGCACCTCAGCTTTGACCTGGGCCACGGCAGGCCCTGCCTTCCCAGGGAGCCCTGGAGTGGTCCGTTGCCCTGAGGGCCCCTTGGTGGGTGCTGAGGCAGCTTTCACCGGGAGGCTTTTCCCTACAGACTTCACCTGGAATGACATGGAAAAGAGGCATGTCACAGGAGCCAAAGGACCACGTGGGGGCTGGCCCTGACCCAGCCAAACAAACTTCGCCTCACCTGTCCCACAGATGTGGCAGGAGCTGTCTCCTCCTCGCTCTCCGGCTCCTCGCTGCTTGAAGAGTCCTCCTCTGGCCTCTGGGTGCCCCTGACCACGGCTGGGGATGATGTGCAGGCTGGCGAAGTCACCGTTCCTGCTTTCCAGGGGGCTGGTGTGCTTACTTGCACTGGTGGGACCTTGGCAGATGCGGGTGTAATGGGGGTGCCCTTCCTTGGGGAGACCTTGGTCTGAGAAGTTTTCACAGCTGATTTTGCCTGAAGGGACACAGAAGTCAGAAGCTACAGAAGGATCTTGGACTCAGAGCCCCCATCCGCTCAAGGGCTGGAGCCCCACTGCCATCCTCCCCCACAGCTCCCTGTGGAGCTGCTCCTCCGGCGGGGGCAGCTACCTGGGCTGGAGTCTTGGCTGTGGGGGCCTCGTCCTCACTGTCTGACTCCTCCTCACTGCTCTCCGAGTCTTCCTTGGACCTTTTGGTCTTGACCTGGGCGGCTGCAGGCCCGGCCTTCTGAGGGGGGCCCTGGGTGGGACCTGAGGCAGGTCTGACCTGCAGGACTTTCCCCGAGGACTTTGCCTGCAGCGAGACACACAGGCTCAGGGGAGAGCACCCAAAGTGTGGCGTTGTGCAGAGACGCAGAGACAAAGAGACAGAGAGGGTCAACAGGCACGGTGAGCGGAGGGGGATGGGGCTTCCGGCACTGAGCCGGAGAGAAGAGCCTGACAGCAGGGGCCTCACCTGGGTCAAGGCTGCTGTTCTCAGCGCCTCCCCCTCGCTGTCCGACTCCTCCTCGCTGCCGCTCTCCGAGTCCTCCTCCCACTTTGCCACCTGGGCGGCTACAGCCCTTGCCTTCTGAGGGAGCGCTGGGACAGCGCTCTTCGCTGAGGGCCCCGTGCTTGTGGCTGAGGCAGCTCTGACCTGGGAGTTTTTCCGCAAGGGCTTTGCCTGGGAGTGACAAAGGACAGGGTCAGGATAGGGGGCTTGGGGGGAATGTGTGTGAGGTAAGACAGGAGGTGCGCAGGGCGGATGGAGGGCAGCAGTCCCGGGTGCAGAGGAGGAGAGGCCCACAGGGTCTCTCAGGCGACGCACAGGGCCGGGCCGGGCATCCTTCCAGCCTCACCTGAGCCAGGCTCGTGGTGTGGGGCACGGCTGTGGACGCCTCCCCCTCGCTGTCTGACTCCTCGCTGCTGCTCTCTGAGTCCTCCTCCTGCCCCCTGGTCTGGGCCTGGATGGCTGCAGGCCCTGCCTTGCCACGGGGTGCTGGAGGGGCCCCTTTCCCAGGGGAAAGCACCTGGGCAGGTGCTGCTGCGGTGGCTCTGACCTGGGGGAGCTTCCCTGAGGGCTTTGCCTGGAGCGAGAGAAACAGTATCAGGGGAGGGAGCCTAGACGGTGGGCGTGAGGAAACACAGGAGAGCGGACAGGGTTAAGGACACCGCAGACACCACACCACACGGTGAGAAGGCGCAGGGCTCTGAGCATGGCTGGGGTGCATGCGGAGCGAGAGAACAAGCCCTCTGAAGGCCTCCTGGGATGGGGCGCTGGCTGTGGGACTCTCCCTCCCCAGGCCTCACCTGCAGCAGGGTCTGGGCAGCTGGCGTCTCCTCCTCGCTGTCTGACTCCTCGCTGCTGCTCTCCGAGTCCTCCTCTGGCCTCCCTGCCTTCCCAGGGGGTGCTGGGGTGGCCCCTTTCCCAGGGGTCCCCTTGGCAGGACCCGAGGCAGCTCTGACCTGGACAGTTTTCTGGGAGGCCTTCACCTAGTAAAAGAGAAAGTGCAGTTTGCTCCCCTCCTTCTGAAAACCTCCTTGTGACACCTTAAGAATAAAGCTCGAAGCCTTAGTGAGGCTCGCAAGACCCCCTGCTTCTCTCTGGACTCCCCACCTTGACTGGTGCTCCAGCCGGTGTGGCCAGCCAGCCAGTATGGCCATACCTCCTCATTCCCGGGGCCTTCACAACCCCTGCCCATTTCACCTGACCACTACTGCCTCATCCCCTGGGTCCCAGTTCCTTATAGCAGTTCTCCATGATGGCCCTGCCCCAGGGTGGGCAGGCTCAGGGCTCCCAGGGGCCTTTTACCACCTGTCTCACCCCTATTCCTCCCTGTTCTCTGATTCCAACAGCTTCCCAGCCTCTCTGGCTTTCCCTTAGGACATGCCCAGCTGCAGCTCTGGCTACCCAAGCGAGGGGAAGGGGGTCCCAGCAGATGGAATGGAAGCAGATTCCTGTTTGCTAACAAGCCATGATTTGGCCTGAGAAGCCAGAGGACCAGGTAATTAAAACTTCTCAAGTCCCTTCGCAGCAGGACTAGGTGGGACAAGGACAGCAGCCCATTTACTAGACAGGGAAACTGAGGTGAAGGGAGTGGTTATTGACTGGGTGGGGTGCAGCACCTGCCCTTTGGGAAGCAGCCACTCCAGGCCACTGCTTGGACAGGAAAGGTCACTTCCAGAAGCGGGTGGAGCAAAACCAGGTGCCCTTGCCCTTCAACTCCCATAGCCCCGCCTCCCTCTCCCCAAACTCCAAGGCGAGTCTCCTCTGGCAGGGAAGGTGCTCATTACACAGTTTCTCCACCAGTCTCGGGGCCAGGGAACCAGGGAACCCTGAGGAGCAGGCCTCCCTTGGGCCTCACCTGGCTGGGTGTCCCCGCAGGGGCCCCCTCCTCACTCTCGGGCTCCTCGCTGCTCTCTGAGACCTCTTCTGGCTTCTTGGCCCTGCTGGCTGGGGTCATGGCACCCCCTCTGACTTGGGGTGTCACACATCCCGCCTTCCCTGGGGTCGGGGCTGCCCTTCTCCTTGGAGACTCCTTGGCCGCAGCTGCCGAGGCTTTGACCTGTGGTGGTTTTACTGCAGGTTTCACCTGGAACAAGACGATGGAATCAGAGAATAATCCTCTCCACCCCTGAGGAGTATAAGATGCTTCATAGTTTGTAAAGCTCTTTCCTAATGTCATCTGGTTCTCAAACAACTCCCTAAGACAGGTACTACCTTTACACCTATTTTCCAGTAAAGGGCAAAAGGCTCAGAGAGGTTAAACCACTCAACACCAATACTAAGGGGCAGAGCTGTGACTTGAACCCATGTCTATATGGCTCTGGGGGCAGAGCTCTCAACCACGATGCTCCTCTCCCACCTGGCACACAGGGCCCAGCAGAGGGGCAGCCACTCTCAACCAGGACAGCTCATGATTGTCCCTCCAGCTACAGTATCTTGTCATGGCGGCCACCCCAAGGGCCAGGACGCTAGGATCTGAACCCCAGTCTTGGCACTGGCTTGCTGAGATTCCTGGGGCACATTCCTTCCCTCTCTGGGCTCTGGCCCACTGAAGTTATGTGTTTGGCTGCTGGTTTCCCAGGGCCAGGAGTGTCGCTCGTTCCCTTGGCAGGGCCTGGGGGATGGGAGCCCAGGGCGTCCTTACGGCTAGCTGTAACGAGGGCCCAACGGTGGGACAGAATGTGGGGAGCAGCCCACAGCTAGGCCTGGGGTAGCTGGGAGCAAGGTCTCTACCTTCGTGGGTGACTGGCTAAGGCAGGAAGGCAAGGTAGGGAGCACCGTGGGGGCCAGGCCAATCCATCCCTGAATGCTACTTTTCTCCCTCTACAACACCCTTCCCTGGGTGTCCTGGCGCCAGGCACCAGCGTCTCCTGCCAGCACTACTCCAACAGCCCTCAACCACGCCATTACATCTATTCAGCACTGTCCTCCGATCCAGGCCACAAGCAGCCATCTTTCCGAACCGTAAGTCAGGCCATCTTGCCGCTGGGCCTGTAGCCCTGCAGTGGCTTCTCACAGCCTCCAGAGTAAAACCCAAATTCCTCTCAGCAGTCCTCTTGGTCAGGCATGGATCTGGCCCCCGCCTACTTCTGACCTCACCTTGTATCACTTTCCGCCTCATTCATGAAATTGCAGATCACCGTTGCTTAAAAGCACCAAACTCATTTTGTGTCTGCCTCTGCCCCTGCTGTCCCTCTGTCTGCGTCACATTCCTGTTACTGCGCCTCAGAGCTCTCCACATTTCCCTTTCATAGTAACCATCACCACGGCAGTTAAATTTCTGAGGGACCCCTCCACTTCCCCACGGCAGCAGGAACCCCACCCGTCCTGCTTACCACTGTTTCCCCAAGGCCTGGCGCTTGGAAGGTGCACATTAAGGAATAACCTGCGGGGACTCCTCCCAGGTCACGGTTCACAAAACAGACACGGCCACTGACTAAAAGGCCTGCCTACCCCTGGCCAGTGCTGAGGCCTGGCATTCACCAGCAGGCCCAGAGCCTCCGCAGCAGCCTCACCCACACCCCAGTGCCCTGGACAGCCACGCTCCTGCCCCGGGGCCTTTGCCCCGGGGCCTTTGCTCGTGCAGTTCTTCCCGCTCGAATACCCCTCCCCCTACCTCCCTCCCCGGTGAAGCCGAAGCCTCCTGTGCGTCAAGGCCGCAGTCCAGTGCCGCCTCTCCCAGGAAGGCTTCCCCCCACCTCACAGGCAGGATGGCGTCTCTTCCCCCCAGCCCCACACCTTCGCCTGCCCAGAGTGCAGTGAGCAGCGCCTGGCTCCCCGCCTCCGCAGGCCTCAGCCTTCCCAGCTCCCGGTCACCCTGACACCCTTGCTGAACTGATCTGGTGCCCCTGGTAGGTGAGGCCCCGGCCAGGCCTCCAGGAGGGTTAGAGGTTTGCAGAGGGCAGCTCCTGAGGATGGGCGGCAATTACCTCCACGTCCGTCTCATCGCTCGAGCCGGAGGTGTCTTCGCTGGAGCTGGCGGCCGCCATTCCTGAGGAATAAACAAGGAGGGCCTGAGGGCCTTTCCAGACCCGCCCGCCCCTCGCCGGCACCCTCCACGCCAACTACTCAGGGCCAGGTGCGAGCGCTCCCGCCGCAGCTCCTGCGCGGCTCTGAGGCCCCGGTAAGGCCTGTGATGTTAGGTCCCAGCACAGGAGCGCCAGAAGCTGATGGCTCAGATGATCTCCTTCCACCAGCACACAGCAGCAGGCAGGGCAGACGCCTATTTTACATGGGAGATGGAGGCAAGCCCAGGCCTCTCAGCTTAGCCTCTGAGCCTCTGCGGCAGGCCCTGCACCCACCTGAGAGCAATAAACCAGAAAGCAAGCCGACCCCGGCTGCTCACACTGCCTCACAAGGCCTGAGGTGTCCCTGCAGCTGACTCTTCCTCACCCGGGGAGGGGAAAATGGCCTGAGGTGGCGGTCCTCGCTGTCATAGAGACAACCCCCTGAATTCCAGAGGGTCCCAGGGCCTCACAAAGCAGCGCCCAGGTCTGCTTCCTCAGCCCGCACTCGGGGGGCCTGGTCCTAGAGGGCAAGGCCGCTCACCAGGCTTGGCAGTGGTTCTGAGGGCCGAGACACCGCCCTCCTCCTCAGTTTCTGAGACCAGGATGGTATTTGCCGAGGGCCCTGCCGCCTTCTGGGGTGACTTCCTGGTGAGGAGGTGGGCCACTGCCTTCCCGGAGGCAGGGTGTGCCGTGGAGTTCACCGTCTTGCTGGCTTTCTTGGTCTTTGCCTACACAGAACAGGAGTGACAGACAGTGGGTATGGCCTGGCAAATGAGAGCACAGACCACATCTGAGCCCAGCTCCACCACTTCCTAGCCCTGTGAGCTTGGGCACACTACCTCCCTAAGCCTCAGTTTCTTCATCTTCAAAGTGGGGCTAAAAATGGTACCTCCCCTCACAGAGGTGTGGAGAGAACCGGATTACAGTTCTTGGGACACAGCAGTTTTGCTCAGTGGTAAGGAGCATTTTGTTGTGGACATTACCATGGCCTCATAATTCTTTCTACATATTTTTTGCTAATGCTACAGGCAACATCAGGGACATAATCCTTTACGTGCCTGTGACACTGCTTTGTGGATGACCAAAAAAGGATATTCTACTTTCCAAGTAGTTTCCAGCCTAGAAAGTGATTCTTGAGGGAGTTCCCTGGTGGTCCTGTGGTTAGGACTCCACACTTCCACTGCAGGGGGCACAGGTTCCACCCCTGGTCGGGGGACTAAGAGCCCACAAGCTCCCCGGCACGGCCAAAAACAACCAAAAAAAAAAAAAAAAAAAAAACCCGAAATAAAATGCTTCTCAAGCTTTCAGAGCCACCAGTGTCTTATCTGCTCTGGTGTCTCCACTGCCTTGTGCAGTGCCTGGAACATAACTGTATTGGTAACGATTTGCTGAGTGAACAGGTGAATGCAGGGCTGGAGGAGGAAAGGAACTGTCTCTTCCAGGTGTGTAATGTGCCCAGTGGCCCATGGCGGTAGGTATTATCCCCATCTTACAGAAGAAAAACAAACTGAGGCCGACGGAGGTGAAGGGACAGACCACAATCAGCCTGCGACTGAGGCTGAGATCTGAATCCAATCCAAGGGTTGGGCAATTACCCACAAGCCTATCCTTCTCTGAGACAGGGGACTGTGTCCTACAGGGCACTTCAACTCCCGCGGGCGACAGCTTGGAAGGTGGTCTCACTCACCTTGGCTTTTTCTCTCACACTTGAAGGCAAAACCATCCCCGTGGCTGAGGAGTTGGTAGATGCTAGTGCCGGGACTGCAAGACACAAACACTGGTTGGGTGAGCCAGATGAGCATGTTCTCATGGGTGAGTGGCAAACAGGCTCAGCTCACCTAATAATTCAACTGGTATGGCTGCCTGGGGCTGGCATGAGATCTGAGGCTGAGCCTGGACTGGGAAAGAGCTCGGTGGTGCATCAGCCACATCCCCCAGGAGCAAGAGAGGAGAGTGACGACATGAAAGCCATGTGTCTGCATCCCCGATGGGGTCCCAATTCCCTGGTGGCACGAGATGCTGAAGCCCCCAGAGGAAAAGGGATTGGCTCCTAGTCCTGCCGCATACTACCCCGGAGGTCCCGCACAACTCCAGGGGTGCCATTTCCACAGGCTACCTGCCACACTGCAGCCCTAACGTCACTCAGCGAGACAGGAGCAGGTCAGGCAGCCCCAGGTCCACAGAGAAAGCTGCTCGAATTAAGCGGTTTCTCAGTGGAGAAGTAGCTGAACCATGAGACCGGGACCCTGTTAGATGTCGAGATTTCCAGATTCTTGTTGCTTTTACACCGGGGTATCGTCTCCTTAGAGCTCAGATTAGGGAAAGATTTCTAATGTATGCTGTGAAATAAACAGGATGTTGTTGAGATGAATGATATGATCTAATTCTTTTCCTGACATTTAATTCCATCTCTCTCTATTTTTAATCACGGAAAATGTTAAGCCCGTTCCTACGTAGAGAGAAAGTGTATAAAACCACCCTGCCCCAACCGTTATCAACTTGTGGCCAATCTTATTTCAACTGTCCCCCCGTTCGCCCTTCCCTGCTGAGTATTATTCTGAAGAAAACATCAGACGTCATACCATGTGGCCCACAGATATTTCAGCATGTTTCTCTCAATGAGGACTCTTAAAAAGTATAATTAGAATTCCATTATTAGAGCTTAAAAAATTTATTAATATCGAGTAGCCCGTCAGTAGGAAATTTTACAATTTTTGTTTTAAATACTGTGTAGGTATGGACGTAGGCAAGTATGGATGTCTATCTGTATGATTTCAGATACAAAGGAGAGCACTGTAAGGCTACCCTCCAGGAGATACATTTAGGGAGTGGAAGGGGAGCCGGCGAGGGGAACAGGAAACCTCCCACTTTTCTTCTGTATGCTTTTGTACAGTTCACAGTGAACTTGCTTTGCATTATAATTTTAAAAGATTAAGCAAGGTATAAAATGCATATTCAGTATGATCTCAAGTCTTTGAAAAAACATGTTCAGGAAAAATAAATGGAAGAATAATTTGCCAAATTATATGTGGCAAGAATATGGGTAATTTTTCCCTACCTTTCTGAAAAGTAATTTTCACATATTCTATAATGAATACTCCATAACAAAGCCTGTATTTCTTTTACAATCAGAAAACATATTTAAAAATTAAGAAATTATCTTCTATGTAAGTAAAAACCAATAATGCAAAGAAGAACGATAATTCCTCTGTGGAGCTATGACCACTGTTGGTTAAAGTACAAACTGCCCTGAGAACATGGGGAGAAGGGGCTGTGAAGGCCTCCCCGGGTCGCCCCTGCCAACACCCTGAAACCAGAGTGCCCGGGACGGCCTGCCAGTGCTAATCTGTACACTTCCAAAATAACAGGAAGATCGGCAACTCCTGAAGCAGCCCGTAAGCACACAGAAGAGGTGCCCGCCAGCTGCCCTCTCTGAAATCTCTCTAGCAGTTCTTCTGAAAATGTGGGCTTCTTTCTATCTTTACCAGAATCACCTGGAGGGCTTGTAAAAATGCAGCTCCTGGGCCCCACTGGAGGGGCTGACTCCACGTACCCCAAATTAGACTGTAAGGGCCCATCCATGTTTTTGTTCACCATTGGATTCCTAGCCCCTGGGACACGATGTCTGGCCCAGAGGAAGGGCTCAAATCAAGACTGAAGTAGGTACGTGGGACCCTTCCAACCTTCCCTCTAAAAGGGCCGGTCCTCTGAGGGCTCACTGAAGGAGAAGCTGGAGGTGGACCCTCCCCTGGAACAATCCAATATACAACAGCCTGTTCCCGAAAGGTGCAGGGCGCTGAGCTGAGCCCCCGGCACACAGCGCTCTTACTGGCTTTGGTGCTTCCTGCTTCTGCCTCCTGCGCCACCTCCTCCTCCTCTTCTGAGCTCTCGGAGCTGGTAATGGGGTCTGACACGCGGGTCTTCTTGGCCTGCAGGGCTGCATCTTCCTCTGCCTTCCGCTTCTGGCCAATCTCCGAGGTTCTGCAGGACAAGGGTGACTGGCTAGTTCAACCGGGTGACAAGGACAACCCCAGGAGAGTTGAAAAGGAAGACCTCCCCACATCCTCCCTGCCCCCAAAGGAAACGTGCATGAAGAGAGTTTAAACAGTGATGAAACACAGTGTTAGATACAATTTTGTGTTCTGCATTTTCACTCATTTCATCGTATTTTTACAATTGTCTATGAGTCTTCAAATATTCAGGAAGGGTGGACAATATTATATAACAGCTGCTAAGAGTCACTGAGCGCTAAGTGCCGGCACTATAGACACTTCACAGCACCATCCAGGCTCCTCCCTCCTCCAGAACTTGTGGCACCTGCAGTGCCCTCTTCCTGGAAGAGTCTGCCCAGGTCGGTCCCTATTGTCCTTCAGGCCTCAACTCGAATACAGCCTCCTCAGAGAGGCCCTCCCTGATCACCCCCCCTCCCCTAAGACATTCTCTGCCCTGCCATCCTGTTTCATTTTCTTCAGAGCACGTTCCTCTCTCCTATTATTTTACCCACTTCCTGCTTGAAGCCCCCACTGCACAGCCAGGCCCCTGGAGAGGAGGGCTGGCAGGAACCTTTTCCAGCTCCCTCAGTACCTTGAGCACATAGCATGAGTCTCACGGGCAAGTGAGTTGCCCAGAGTCAAAGAGTAAGTCTCAGGCACTGGGGAGGATAAGCACCCAGATGGCTGAGTTGCTGGAACTTTCGAGCATCATCTCCCCTGACCCCAGCCTCCTGCCCCGAGGGAGTCACTGTCTGTGCCCCATGTTCTCCAGATGGGACGGATGCTGCTCTGCCAGCTTGGGATGTGCTGCTTGGGTCCCTTGTTCCCAGGGAATCTTCTGCAAAAACAGGTTTCATTTACTACATGTATCAGTTCACTCTGCCTCTCTCCTCCCAACAGAATGTAAGTTTCACAAGGGCAGGGATTTTTCTCCAGTTTGTTCCCAGCTATATCAAGAACAGTTCTGGCTCACAGTAAGTGCTCGATAAATACGGAGGTGAGCGGGGGTGGGAGGGGGATGCCTCCAATGGCTAGGTTTAGCACTTTACCATTATTATCTTCATTTTACGGATGGAGACACACTTGGGGAGGCCAAGTTTGTCCAAGGTCATACGGCTAGTTGCTGGGTTTGAACCACTAGGTTAGGCTGTGAGGTCCTCATCCCAGTCAGTACCCCTCACCCACAGAAGGGGCTGGTGGCGGGGAAGGGCGTGTGCTGCGGCTCACTGAAGGAGTTCTCTGGGGAAGGAAGTGCTGTGCAAACACACAGACACCTAGGCAAGTGGGAAAGGAAGTGGGGGTGTGCCCTGTGCTCACCTCAGCAGCAGAGGAGAGCCAAGAACTGAGGGTTGAGAGGGCTCTCAAAGACCTTAGCTCTCTACTGGAAGCTTGGATCCCTTCCACACCATGCCTGCCTTTGTTTACACACCTCTGATGACAAGGAACTCACAACTCCACTGTAGCCTACCTCATTTCTGGAGAGCTCTGATGACCCACTGCTTTTATTCAGAAGCTGAAACCTGTCTTCCTAAAGCAGGTACATATGGGTCCCACTTCAGTCTCTCGGGCCCCAGGGAACACCCCACTCCCTTTGTCTTCAAAGACGTGCATACAGAGGTCCCTTGTCTGCCCCTCTGACATCTCTTTCCCATCCCAGACGGTTCAGTATTCACTATCATTCCTCATGGGACATGACTGCAGGTCCTTCACTCCCGTAGTTGGCTGTGGTCAGGCCAGTTCATGGAGAGAACGATTATCCCTCCTTCATTTTCAAACCATTCCTCTGCTGATATGTCCTTAGGTTATTCCCCTCCTTGTTTCCCAGGTTTTACAGGCATTTCACATTCAACAGGTCTTTGAAATCTTTCCCTCCAAATTGGGTTCCTTCCACTGAGGTGTACAAGTCAGACACCTGGGAGTGGACTAGACTGCCTCTCCAAACCATCCGCGGACCCTCACCTCACCCTCTCACATTCCTGGAATCTACTGTCTCCCTCCCACGTTATTACCGCCTTAAGCTCCATCAGCTCTTGCCTGCATCATGATATCCACAGCCTCAACTGGTCGCGCCATGCTGCAGTGGCCTCACCATTCCCTGCTTCACCCTTCCATGGCTCCCACGGCTCTTGGGGCAAAGACACAACTGCTCCCCATGGATGATCAGGCCTTGCGTGGAGTGGGCCCTGCCTACGGTTCAGCCTCGTCTGCACTGTGCCCGCAGCTACAGGCCTCAGACCAGTAGTTCCCTCTGCCAGGTGCGCTCTACTGGCCCCTCCACACCTATTGCCTCGTTCACTCCCCTACTCCCTGCAGCTCTCAAATCAAAGGTCGCTTCAGGGAAGCCTCCCCTAAACCCCCAAATGAGGCTAGGCCAACCTGTTTAGGTAGTTTTGGCACTGGGCACCTCTTTGCATAACCCTGACTACCACTATAATTTTACACTCATTTGTTTTTTCTGAGGTGTGCTTACCTTCCTGGACTCCAATGTCAGCTCCAGGAAAGAAGGAACCATGTATGTCTCACTCATGACAATACCTTTGTACTTAGAACAGAGCCTGGCATTCAGTAGTTACTCAATAAATGTTTACTGATTGAATGAATAATAAAAGCTGCTGAGAAGCTTTTGTCCTTAAGAGGCACTGATCACAGCTCAGTGTCCTCTCCATTACCAGACACCCGTATCTGTGACCTGGCTTCCTGGAGGTGATAATAGTATCTACGGTGGGCTATGGGGACAGATCTTAGACCAGATTAGTATCCTAGCTGATCCCAAGCTGAGGGCTTGCAGTGTCCCTGCTGTACTCTCTCAGTCCCATTAGACTTACTGTTGCCAGTGTGTATAGATGTCCAGAAGGGTTACAGGCTGAGTCAGGAAACTTTTCTGCAGAGAAGTAAAGAGAAAGCAGCAATCAATCCCCCAAGCACAGTAAGGGTCCTCCTTGGGCCCCACTCTCACAACGTCATGATCTACAGAGAGGTGGTTGAGAAGGGGGTCTTTCAGCTCTGGGAAGTATGTCTGCTTGACCCTTCCAGTACCACCCAAACCTTCCAGAGACAAGCAGGGCAAGTATTTCCAGCTAAAACCTTTTAAGACAACATGTTGGTGAGGAGTACCTTTGAAGATTAGAGTTGGAATGTTCCAGGCTAGCATTTATCCAGCCCCCAGCCTTCCTGGCACTCTCCAGGCTTAGGTGCCACGAGACAGGGCTTTTTCCACCCCTGACCTTTCAGAAGGCTTTCAAAAGCCAGGCTGGTCAATCTCCCCAGGACAGTACGAACCACAGCCCAGACACCGCGCTGTCAGCTCACCCGCTGGGAAGAGACTGGAACCAAATGGTGCCAGTCCTTTGGTAGAAGCAGAGGCCTTCGGAGCCAAGATCAGAAGCCTATTCTCTCTGCAAATATCAAGAACCTGGGGTGTCAAGTGCCCCAAGGAGGCCGAGTGAGTAATGTGGGGCGAGGGCAGTGCCGGGGATTTAGGCAGAGTGGTCAAGAGGGTGCACCTGGACTCAGGCATAGCGCCTGTGTTAACTGGATGGGCTACTGTCTTCACCTCTTCAAACTTCTGGTTCTTTCTTTCTAACATGGGGATAACAGCAGTACCCACCTAAGATGTTGCTGTCAGGCCTGATTGAGACCATCTAGTCAGTGCCCAGCACAGAAGCCAGTAACATTGAGACTGTAACTGACAGTAATTGAAAGAGTCAGTTTCACTCTCCTATACCCCTGTCACACTGGCCTCCTCGCTGTCCCTCAAATCTGTCAGGGCACCCCGCCCGCACGGGGGCTTGCAATTCCTTCTGTCTGGAATGCTCTCTCCTGCCAACTCTACGGCTCACTCCCTCACTTCCTTCAGGTCCTTGCCCGAATGTCACCTTCTCATTGGGGTTTCCTGACCACCCTATATAGATAATTTAACTCTGACATTCTTTATCTCCCCACACCTGCCTTATTTTTATAGCTAGCACCTACCATCACCCCACACACTGTATCATTAACTTTAAAAAAAAAAAAAAAAATCAGTCATCGTTCGGCTCCTGCTGGAACGTGTGCTCCATGAGGGCAGGATACTTTTGCTTAGGTAAATGCCCCAAAGCAGATGGGTATTCTCCTTCACCCCCTGTAGCTATTAAGTCATGTTAACTGGAGTAAGAAGGGCTACCGAGGTCCAAAGAAAACTGGAAAAAGCACAGGTAATGTCGTAAGGCCCATCATCCTTTAGTTTCTCCAGGAGGTCCTGAGAGCAAGCATCATGACCACAGCCTCCACCACAGCCAAGGGGTACTGATCAACCAAGTCAGTAGCCACCATACCAGCTTAAAACTTCCCCGTGGCTTACCACTGCTCTTCAGATGAAAACCAAAGTAAGCCAACTCCCTGCCTCTGTCTCCCCAGGGACCTCTATCACCCTTGTACTCCACACTTCAGTCAACTTTCTGGGGCAGTACATATGCAACAATTTGCACCTCTGCTTGGAATATCCACCTCCCTTCTCTCAGATCTCAAAGCAACATCCACTTCCTCAGGAAAGCAACCCTGGATATCCCTGACGAGGGCAAGCTGCCATTCTTGTCTTAGCACCCTATGCCTCTCGTTCTTGGCACTTAATGCAGTGTTAAGTGTACAGGTGCTTTTATGGTTCTTTGATTTATGTCTATCTCCCCTACCAAATTCAGACTGTAAACTCTAAACAGTGAATTGAGGGACCGTGCTCACTATTCTGTCACCAGCACTCTGACCGCCAGATTAACAGCTGCTCAAAGAACGGATGAAGTGAAATGACTGCACCACGAGTTCGAATCCCAAAGCTGTCCGACTCAGTACAGAAGGGCTGCTAAGGGCTTGAGCTCCAGCTCAATTAAGGGGCTTCAGACCCCCTCTCTTGGCGCTCTTTCGCCCCACCAGAGCTGGTCGCAATCCACCTCTCAGACTCGCAGCAACCTTCTCGCCCCAGGGAGCCGCGCCGAGCCACGTGGCCCGAGACTTCGGAAACTTTAAACTGCCGCTCCCAGGAAGGGGGTGGCGGTAAGGGGCGCGGGAATTATAAAGCCCTGAGCGTCATATCTCACGTCCCGGCCCGCCCACTGCACAGACAGGGAAACTGAGGCCCATAAGAACTGGGGGCCGCAGGGGTGGGGAGCAGAGGCTGAGCCTCCTTCGGCACCCCAGGCCGCGTCCCGGAGCACCGCGGGTATCCGGCTCTGGGCGCCCTCCAGGCCGCCAGGGGAGGAGGCGCGGGCCTCCTCTCCTCAGATCGTGCACGCGGCCCTCGCACACGGCCCGGGCACGCTTACCTGGCCGCTCTGCTCCTTCACTTCCCGCGCCGCGCGCACAAAGCCCGCCTGCAGCAGATGCTGGTAGATCAGGGGAAGCAGCTCCCGCCGCTTCCTGGCCTCGGCCATGCCCGCAACCCCCGGCTTGTCGGCTTACCTGCACGCCCCCCTCAGTCCCCGCCCGCCACTTCCCTCTTACCCTTAGACCTCGCGCCCCCCACTTCCGGCTCCTCCTTCACCCGCCGCGCGGCACGCCGGAACACGTAGTCTTATCTCCAGGAGTGGCCGGCCCCTCTCCGGTGGGTGTAAGGGGCGGAGGCAGGGAGGACAACGAGACCTCCCATTGGCTGGGAGGGCGTGGTCAGACCCGGATACGCCCCCTGGGCCGGCCACGATTCGAATGACTTCCTCTTAAATCCTTCGGACTCGTTCCTGGAGATTTGTCTTCCACTTAGCTGTCTGACAGCTGCGGTCAGGTTTTACTCATCTCTGAACATCCTAATCTCCAGCTCTCTCTAGACCCGAACTTGCAGTTACCCACTCATTTATTCATTTCACAGGTGTTTTAGAACCCATAAACCAAGTACTATTTGTCATTGTTCATTCATTCACTGAACAAATACTTACTGAGCACCATACCTTGGGCTAGCGCTAGGCTAGGATTGGGGGATAAAAAGATGAATAAGATATGGCAGCCGCCCTCAAAGCTCACAGGGAGGAGAGAGACAGTCGGTAACCAAGCAACTATGGTTCAATGTCTTCTGTGCATTGTCCGGGACAGATACAGCCTGTGGGAGAAAGAAGGAGGGGCCCCTGACCCCAGGCAGATATCTAAGCTTAAGCTTAAAGATGGAGTAGGAATTTCTAGGTGCAGAGGAAAGGGATGGCATCCCACGCAGAGGGCACTGCATGAGTATAGACAGGAGATACCACCCTGGTACAGGCTGGGAAACCCAGATATAAATCCAAGTCTGTGCTGCTGGGCTGTAGAGTTGGAGGGTTGAGGGAACGAGTGAGGACACAAAAGGATGGAGAAGTTAGCAGGGCCTACTGCACCCCCTCCCCCCAGCCACAGTTTGCACCTTTGCTCCAAGGATAATAGATAGTCTCTGACGGATTTTATGCAGGAGGGTGACCTGGGTTTATGTTTTTAAAAGATTGCTATGACCAAAGCGTGGAAGATGGATTTATGGAGAACAAAACTGGACGTGAGGGTGTTGTAGCTGTGGAGGGGAGGTTGGCAGGGAGAGGGTGACCTAGGCTGGGGAATATTTGAATCAGCTATTCTTAACTTCATGGATCCATCGAGAAACTGGAGACAGCACGAACCTAACCTTTGCTGTAGAAAAATTTGAAGTGTACAGACACATGACGTTTTGCATCCAGTTTTAGGACATGGATAAGCACATACCTGAACCTCCTAGGCTTAGGAAGTGCTGCTCTAGGAAGAAACAGGGACAGGACCAGGTGACTGATGGAATGTGATGAGAGAGACTAATTTACATTCAGCTATTTAGCAAATATTTATTGAGTACCTACTATTGGGGATAAAACTGTCTCTACCCCAATAGAGCTTATAGTCTAATGGGGGAGACACAAGCTAAACAAATAGTCATACAAATACATTGTTACAAACAGTAGTAAGTGCAGAAAGGAAAAGGATAGTGTTTTCTTATGGAAGAATTGGAGACTTCCCTGGTGGCGCAGTGGTTAAGAATTCGTCTGCCAATGCAGGGGACATGGGTTCGAGCCCTGATCCGGGGAGATCCCACATGCCACAGAGCAACTAAGCCCGTGTGCCACAACTACTGAGCCTGCGAGCCACAACTACTGAAGCCTGAGCGCCTAGAGCCCGTGCTCCACTACAAGAGAAGCCACTGCAATGAGGAGTCCGCGCACCGCAATGAAGAGTAGCCCCTGCTTGCCACAACTAGAGAAAGCTGGTGTGCAGCAACAAAGATCCAACGCAGCCAAAAATAAATTAAAAAAAAAAAAAAGCTATACTGGAGTCATGCTGCCTGTGTTCAAATTCCCACTTTGCCTCTTATTAACTAGGTGACCTTGGGTAAGTTACATAACTTCTTGGTCCCTCAGTTTCTTCACCCATAAAACAGAGATAATTATAATTTCTACCTCATAGGGTTGCCATGAGGAGTAAATGAGTTCTAAGCAGAAATGCACAGAAGAGTTCCAAAGAATAGTACTGCGCTTGTGTGTACGTTAGCCATTACTGTGAAAGCATTTGACAGGATGGAGGGACCTATCTCTTCTTGGGGAAGGATTCCCTAAGGAAATGGTCTTTGTGAGGAGATCTGAACTATATGCAGGGGAGGATGGGGTACGGGGAGAATCCTAGGCAGAAGAAAGAACCTGTGCAAAGGGCCTGAGGCAGAAGTTACAGCTAGAGAAGAGGTGAGAAAAGGCCTGTGTAACAGGGCCAGAGGGAGAGCAGGGGGATTGGGGAGTGCAGAAGGTGGGCAAAGGATCTTTCTTTTCATCCTCCGAGTGATAGGAAACCACTGACAGTGTAGGCCCAAGAAGGACAGGATGACATTTGCATTTTAATGTGACCTGTGTGAAAGCCTAGTGGAGAGTGGGGTAGTGTGTGTATGAGTAGCTGCAGGATAAGTTAGGGTTAGGAGTACGGGCAGGCATCCAGGGAGAATATCACAGAGGTGGTGCTGGTGGCAGTGCAGTTGGAGAGCAGTGGAAGGTTCCAGTTATCAGGAAGTAAAATCGTCACAGAGATGTGTGGGAATGGAAGGTAAGCGAGAGACGGTGTCAGGATGGACTCTGAGGTTTCCCTGCAAACAGGCAGACAGTAGTTTTCACTGAGATGGGGAAAACTGGAGACCACTGGGAGGCGGTGTTGGGTGAGCGAGGATGGGAGGGTGTGGAGGGGGACGTGAAAAGTGCAACTTCCACTTTAGATGTGTTGAGCTTGAAAGGCCTTTGGGACACTGAGTGTAGATGTTGAGTAGGCGCTTGGAAGCCTGGGTTTGGAGGCACGTGAGGATGGGAAGTTGTCAGGAGACAAATGATCACGAGGCTGTGGATGAGGGCTGGATTGTCCAAAGAGAAGGCGCCCCAGGATGGAGCTGTGAGACACACCACAGGTTAGGGGCTGTGCAAACGAGGATATACCTGCAGAGGCCGAGAAGGAGGGCCTGAGAGGTGGGAGAAAACCCTGGAGGGTGGGCGTAGGGAAGGCAGCCAAGGGAAGGAAGCTGAGAGTTTCAGGAAAGTGGGAGGAGTCAATGGGGAATGCTCTGAGAGGTCAGAAGGGTGTGGATGGAAGCAGCGGCTTTGGTTAATGACAGACATGGGCAGATGCTGGTGGCTTTAGGGAGCACTGTTTCTGCAGAGTGATGAGAGGGTCAGATGGCAGTGGGTCTGATGAGTGAAGGAGGGGTGAAGGAGGCAGTGGGTCTTTTGAGAAGTATTTGTGTGAAGGGGAGGAGAGAGATGCTGTGACGGGGTCAAAGCATATGGGGGGGTGGGGTGGGGAGGTGTGTTAGAAGGTGGAAGAGACCTGAGTTTGTTTACAGGCTGATGGCAGATCAAGGGGAGAGATTAATTAAGGGTGTGGGAAAGAGGGGAGATAATCAGCGAGGGATGTTCACGAGCATGTGCGAGGGGATGGAACCAAGCATGTAGGTGGAGAGGTTGGTCTTGGAAAGGAGGAGGGATGACTTCTCTAGAACCAAAAGAAGGAACAAAGAGAGGATGGGTGCAGATGTAGATGTAGGTTTGTAGTGGGATGTTAAGGGAGATTTCATCTTGAGCTTCTATTTTTTCTGCAAAGTGGGAGGCAAGGTCTTCTGCTAAGAGTGAGGAAGAGGTGGTGAGGAGTTTGAAGGAAGGAGGAGAGTGTGCATTCAGACGGTTGAGGAGCAAACTTGCCCACAAAATCCCCAAATGTCCGACAGTGCTGACAACCCAGTGTGTCCTGTCCTGTCGGCTGGGTGATTTCCCCCACCATGGGTCACCTACCCACGTGCAAACAGGGGAAAGTACTTGGTGGGGTTTATCCAGGCCCAGGGCTTTGCCAGATGGGCGGGGAAAAGGGCAGAGCGTTCTAAAGTGTTGGCAAAAGAGATGCCCAATCTTTCGGCCCTGGGAACTAGGCTGGGCAGGGTGGAAAGTGAAGACAGATGGGGTCCATTTTCAGGGAGAGAGTGGAAGCCTTCATGGACTGGGCAGCCACAAGGTCAGTAACCAGGAGCCTGAGCTTAGGGTTGGCAACTCGAATTGATGACCATGCCCTGGTTACTGACTGGGTGGCTGGTAGGGCTACTCACTGAGACAGTGAACATCAGGAAGATAAAAGTGTTTTTACCCCTCCAAGAATCAATTTTCATCCCCTTGGGGCATTATGGCCCCAGTTGAGAATGCCTGCCTTAGTAGAATGTAAATTCCCTGAAGGCAGACTGGTGGTCGGCTTGTTGCCCACATTATTCCCAGCCCCGGTCCATAAATACTGGCCAGTGCAAGGGTGGTTACAGCCTGTCTCCTGAAGAAGAGAGGAGAGCAGAGCAGGCAGGGCACACACCATGAGTACAGGCCTGGAAGCAGAAATGTGGAAGTCTTCTAGAAGACAGTGGAGAAGAAACTGGGTCTTCCATCCTTGGCTGACCTTGGAAGAAATGGAGAATTGGTATTAAATTAAAAAACAAAAACCAAGCCAAACCAGGATGATCTAATACCTTTGGTCTGGCAACAGGTTGTTGGTTTTGTTCCTAATGAAATTCATTTTAGGCGTTTATGGTTTATCCTTGGCTTCCGGGAGGCGGCCTCTTCTGTGGGCAATTCCTCTGTTTCCTTGATTTTCCAAATCATACCCTTCGCCACATTGCCTTGGGGCTCAAGCACAAAATCAAAACATTGATAAAATATAACATGGCAACAGTTAAGACAGCAACAAACAAAAGAGTGCATTAAAAAAAGAGCAAAACAGCAAACACAAAACAAAACAAAACACACACAAAACTAGCCTCAGAGCATTTTTCTACCACTTAGAAAAAGATGTCTTTGTTAGTGTTAGAAGCCAGAAGCTTCCAGGCCACTCGACTGTGAGCGCCTCTCGGGTAAGCAGTATGCCTTAGTCACCTTGAATTCTCGAGCAGGGCACTCAGGAAATGAGTGGAGGAAGGAATGTCAGTAGAAGGAAAGGAAGCTAA